TTTCTTCTCACAGAGCATCAGGTGACACAAAAGTCTCCGAGGCTCCATCGTGTTTCCGTTGCCCTGTCTGCACAGCGCTTTGTTAGTGTATGCCATCGTCTCCCATGATTTCTACTCTCACATAATGCCAGTGAGTTTTAGCCACCCCTTGAATTGAATCAGAGAAATTCTGTGATAAGCTGAGCTTGGTGATCCACATCTATAGTTCCAGCTACCAGGAAGGCTGAGGCAGGAGGATCACTTGAGGTCAGGACTTTGGGGCTTATCTGCACCTCCATCTCTTAAAAAAAGAAAAAAAAGAAAAATTTCTGTATGATAATGGTTCCTGTTGCATTTTTTTAAATTTGGTCATACTGGGGTTTGAACTCAGGACCTTGCTCTTGCTAGGCAGGAGCTCTACCTCATGAGCCACTGCCTAGCCCACTTTTTTTTTTTTTCCCAGTAGGATCTTTCTTTTATGCCTAGGCCAGCCTGGACCTCAGTCATCCTATTTATGCTTTCAGCATGCCTGGGATGTCACGGTTCCAAGCTTTTTATTGGCTAAGATGGGGTCTCATGAACACTTTGTTAGGACTAGCCTCAAACCTTGATCCTCCTGACCTCCACCTCCCAAACACCTTGGATTAAAGGTGTGAGGTACCACGCCCAGTTCTTGTTGCATTCTCATGAAAGCAGTTATTTAATTGAGCTTACCAGTCATCAATTTCCCAACTACTTCCTAATAACCTGAGAGAGGTTACTCTGCAATATTTACTCTGAATTATAATCAAGTAGACCAATTAAATCTGAAGAACTGGTTATTAGAGCTTTTCTCCATGTTTTGTAGGGGGTGGGGAAGAGATCAGTAATGCGATGGGTGTCCAACGTTGGGGATGCTGGCTGGTTAACTATGCCATTGACTGGGGAGACTGGTCACATGATGCAGGCCACTGACCCAACAGCCTTGCTGCAGAAGGACTTCCTCAAGCTTCAGAGGGTGGGGACAAGAAGGCGGGCATGGAGCTGTTTTGATCCTGTAGCTGCACATGCCTGCAGGTCTACATGGTAGGATTTAGAAAGTCCTATTTTTAAAGGCATGACTGTCGTTTTCTAAATTTAAGAAGATGGACCCCCAGTAATTGGTGCCAGTGTTGACTTGGCAGTGATTCATACAATATTATTATTTTCTTAGAGTATTCTTGCTGCTACTATGAGCATTCTCTTGCCTGAGAGACATACGTAATTAAAAGAGCACTGTGAGGAGCCTCTGTTTAGGGCAGTGTCTCTGCCTAGAACCCTGTTGTCCAACGGTTTCTCAACTTTTCTTCCTCTGTTGTTTCTGAACCTACTGGTTTATATTATGGTACACGGTGTATGATCAAAAATACTGCTGCCTCTATTCAACTAAGCTGCTTCCCATATTCTGTCAGAAATAACTGAGGTGTCTAGAGGACCGGGAGAGGTTACGGTGACATGCTAGCCTCATTTATTGGAGCACCATGATTATTCCTCACTCCTGATGCCAAAGGACTCTGCGGACACATGCTCCTCAGTGTTAACATGTGTACTTCTGGCCTTCCCAGCTGGGGACTGCACAGCTCACACCTCTATGTGTTGTACTTTCTTAATATTCTGTCATTCACATAAATTTAGGGCTTTGTGGATTTGGTAACTGACCCAACCCTAAAACTGTGTAACACTTTTACTTGGAGCATTTGTAACTATAGTTACAATTCACATATCCCTAGTTTCTTCTGGTTACTTCTCTGTAATCACCTGGATGCTGTATGGATTAAAACTCTTATTCAGTTTAGTTACATTGAGTTATTTTCTAAAACTGAAAAGGATTGTTTATTAAATTCCCAGTGTTGCCTCCTTTTGTTCACTGCTGGCAATTTTAAATTAAGAACATTTTTTCTTCATAATTCCTACAGTTAGCAGAGTTTAGCCTTGTCTGTGTTTTCCCAAGTTGAACTAAAGTGCACAACTTTCTGTAACATATACATTTCGCCTAACTTTACTTTTCTAAAAACAAGACTGTTGAGTTTTTCTTCAGGTCATTGTTTGGAAAATAGGCCTTGTGCATCTACCAAGCTGTGCCTGTGTTTTTAACACATGCTTTGAAGTTTGACGTATGTCAGAAATATCACTGTAGCTTAGGAGCTTTGTCTGTCCTTAGACATAGAAATATCTTGATTCTGGTTTATGGTAAAAGTATGGTTTTCTTTCCTAGTTTTTCTCTTCAAGAAACAAATGAAATAGTCTTACAGAAATACAACCTCCCACCTTTGTGCTCAGAGAAAGAATATTTAATTATATTCTATCTTTACCGTTCCTCCTGCTCAGCAGTAAATTATTTTTTATATCAAATGGAAGTGCTGTTTGTCTCATCCTCTGACCTCCGGTCTCTCTCTTTTGGACACTTTCCATTATCTTAGCACTTGGTATGCCTTCACTTGCATGCATAGTTTAAAGTTCTCCTGTGTAACCTTTTAGGACTCATTGCTGTTTGGTGTCTTGCAGATAGTACCTTGTTTTTTCCTTTCTCTTTACCTAGGCCGGAGTTTGCATGGCTTTCAGGTCCTACTAGTGTTTATTATGATTGCGAGGTGGTGTAGCCCTGGGGTCCACCTCAGGACCCCAGGTTTGAAGGTTTTCAGTGTTTTTGCTTTTACATTTGTAGCTTGTTCTAGTAAGTGACAGAGATGGGGGTTAAGAGGTAGAAGGTGTCACATCACAATAAAACAGAGTGAGGCTTAACAAAAATGAGAATGAGGCACATAATCAAATGATGAATAAAACAATTTGAGCACAGCATGGTATAGATTATTTTTTTCTTTTGAACTCAAGGCCTCTTGCTTGCTAGGCAGGCACTCTACTGCTTGAGTCATGCCTCTAGCCCTTTTTGCTCTGATTATTTTGGAGAATAGCATTTTGGTTTTTTTTGTTCAGACCAGCCTGGACCAAGATCCTATTTTAAGCTTTCTGCCCTCACTGCAATGACAGTTGCAAGCCACCAGGCCCAGCCTTTTCTACTTTGAGATGGGGTCTCTGACTTTTTTGCCCAGGCTAGCCTAAATCTGCTCTTCTCCTTATCTCAGTTTCTTGAGTATTACTGAGAAGACAGGTGCGCCCCACTACACCGAGCTATTGGTTGAGATGGGGTCTCCCTAACTTTTGACTAGGGCTGGCTTGAATCACAAACCTCCCAATCTCAGCCTTCCAAGTAGCAAGAATTACAGGTGTGAGTCACAGTGCCTGGTTTTAGGTTATTGTTTTAGACAGTTTTAGACAGTTAGTGAAACAATAATCTGAGAGGCAAGACCACTTTTAGAGATGGACGGTATCACTGAGTGTGCTTGGATAGCCTCAGTCTGACCATGTTTTTGAAAAGATGAGAAGTCAGCAGATGGTAGAAAATGCTGTGTGTATAAGAACTGGAGATAGAGAGGGAGCAGGAAGGTGAAATTTTCAAAATCCTCCCATCAAAAGCTCTGTTCTCAGACCCAGCAGGAAAGATGGAACTGTTGGTTGGCAACACTGCAAATATTCAGGTAGAAAAGAGGAAATTTCATTATGGGGATTTCTGTCTGCTTAGCAAATGGGAGAGGAGGTCACTTGCTAACATGGGGTTCAGATTGGGAGCCTGGCCACAGATTTCCTGGGAAAAGAACAAAGGAGGAGGCAAAGCTGACTCATGAGTACTGCTGGATTAAAACGGATCGAGATGCTGTGCAGCTTGAATGAAGCCTTTCATCAGAATACAGCTTTACTAGAAAGCAGAGTATTTGTTATTGTTGTTATTATTAATTGTGTGATTTATCCTGGACATAGGAAAAACAGCTTAGGACGTATGAAATTATATTGACTGGCTGCATGTGTCTTTCTTACTTTTCTCTGAGCTTAAACTTAGGTCCTCTTAATTACAAGAAACCAACATCAAGTTGAACTTGATGTTCACCACAAGTGCGATTTTGTGATTACTGTAAATCGGGGATAATCGTGCATTCTGCAGCATGCACTGTCAGTGCTTGCTCTCTGCAGTGTCGTGCTGGCTTGTGCTTCAGTACCTTTGGTTATGGTGCAACCTTTCCCTTACCCACCCACCCATCCCTTATGCTTGACTATGTAGTTTTCATCTTGGAAGGCCTTGGCTTAAACTTGACCTTCTTCATAAAGCTGTCACTTTCCCCTTACCTCTCTCTGTCTGAATAGTGAATTCTACCCAGTTCAAGTCATTTTCTTGTGATAAAGACAGTGTCTTCTATTACACTTAGATCCATCAGCAGTGTCTGTTGCCAGGCCTGTATTAAGTCTTAATAAATGTTCTGTGTGGAATTGTTGGTAATTGGTACTTTTTATATCATGATTCCAATAGTGATATTTAAAATGTATACATTTCTTATACTTGTTCTTTATTATGATGCTTTGGATCATGACTGTTATCATTAAATATTTTTGGTGTTTGGATGTTTGTCATTTGAAATAGTATTCTTCCTTTAAGTTTTATTTTACAGTCTTCATTTTCATGGCTCTGTGCATGCTTCGTTGGCCCCAGGTCATGACTCTCAAGGGTGTCATGGTAACCTGGCAGAGTCCTAGGGTTGAGTTGTTCTTCTCTCCCCTCCCAGATGGGTTCAGCTGTTGTGATGCGCTCCTTCATTCTGTATTTCCCTAGTTTATTCCTGACAATAAAGTCATATCTTTTTTGCCCTGAATTTTTACTGTTATAGACAATATAAAATCATGATATTCCTGAAATTTACATGTATTTATACATAGGCAACGTGGACAATGACTTTCAATTTTAAGTTAATTCATTAATGTTCAGTAATGTTATTTATCTCCTAATTTGGATTTTATTTGGTAGTAGTGATTTACAAGGCTTATTCAAGTCAAGGAACTTTTTATATAATAAAAAGGTTGAGAAGTAATTTATTATAAAACAACTGTAAACTGTATATAGTGTTTATTGCACAGATATGCATATGGCATAAAATAGATATTTGTGTCTGTTTTAGGAATCAAACATGTTAAGTCCAGTGCAAGATGGAGCAAAGACACCACAGATTGACAGCAATAAAAGCAATAACTACCGGATTGTAAAGGAGGTCAGCTGATATGAAATATTTTATGTAGGCTATATTTACATGAAAAATAATTTTTGCTTATGTGTTACATTTAATATTGCTGATTGTTGTATTTAATGCTTTTCTTCCTTTTAAAGATTTTGATTAGGCTAAGTAAACTCTGTGTGCAGAATAAAAAGTGTCGGAACCAACATCAGCGCCTGCTGAAGAACATGGGGGCTCATTCGGTGGTTCTGGATCTTCTGCAGATACCCTACGAGAAGGTTTGTCCTTAGTTACTCTTGCCTTTGCTTTTTGATGCAGTTTCAAGTGCATCACAAAGTTATAAAGGAGTTTTTCTTCCTTACTTTTTGAGTGTCATCCCCACCTAGTGCCACTATTCCTGCAGCACACATTTAACATAAACAAGGACATGTGTTTACATGACCACACTGCAGCCTTCTGGATCTGCAAAGTGTGGCACTCTACTGTCACCAAATCTCACACACCATTCGCATCCCTCCCATTATCTCAGTCGTGTTCTGATTGACCAAACCATGCGCGTTTGGTTGTCATGTCTACTTAAGTTTCCTAATGCTGAAACTTCCGTGACATTGACTCTTTTGCAGATAGCCAATTATTTTGAAGAATGCCTCCTAATTTGTGTCATCTCTTGTTTCCTGGTATGACTGAATTAGGTTTCAGCTCTTTGACAGGACATAATAGAGGGGTGCTAATTTCTCATTGATCCCAGTATGTGGTATGTGGTTTTGACTTACCTTGTTATTAATATTGACTACTTTGATCACTTGTCTGCCAGGTTTCTCCATTTAGAAGTTCTGGTTTCTCTTTGTAATACGTGTTTTGTTAAAAGGTTCTGTGAAGCTAAGTAAATATCTCATTCTTCATCCAACTTTCATTTTTTTATTCTTACTAGTATGGACATATGGATGCCTGTTTTATTCAACAGGTTATAGTAGGTTTCTATCACTATTTTGATTCTCAGATTTGGTGCTGTGATGCCCCTTCAAGCTAGAATCTCTGTCCTCTAATGTGTGCCAATCGATCTGTGGGTACTTTCTTGCTTTCTGGCACAGTAAAGCATTCTGGTTGCATCTTGTTTTCTTTTGGCTCCAACCCTGGACTCAGCCATTTCTTATAGAAACCGCAGTTCCATTTGGTGGGGAATGGTAGTTAGGAGCATAACTCTGAGAAGTGAGCGTGAGTTTTGCTATTGAGATGTTTCTCCTCAGGCCCCCTGAATAGAAATACTATTTACTCTGTGTGTGTGTATAATTTGTGTGTGTTTGCATACAAGTTACATTCATACTTATTTTCTCACTTATCTAGACATTATTGAAAGCCACCAGTACCTCTAATTTCAAAATCACAGGGCTCGTTTTAGTTTCTTTTTTTTTTTTTTCCCACCATGTCTCTATTCTCCAACAGGGGGAAATGTGCCCATTATGTATGGTACCTCGCTCAATCTCTGATAGCCTCCAGGTTAAATACCCTCTTTATCTGCCTGGGGTTTCAACTCGATATGAGAGGCCTTTCTTTGTGTGGACCCTGCCCCTCTTGAACTCTCACTGGATTGCCTGCTCCACTTGACTTAGTTTTCCAATACGTAAATTTACAAATCATACCATTCCTAAGGTAGCATAATTCAAACTATGCACAGAGTGAAAGGCAATAGAGGTATTAAATCGTCAGTATTTATTATCAGAACTATTCTGCCTGATACTGTAACAAGGGCATTGGACACAATGTAAATTCCCTTCTAATACTGAATCTGCAGCACTGAGTGTTTTGCTATTACTTTGTTCTTATGGAACTGCTTAGTTTTAATGACTGGGATGTTCAGAAACACAAAAAGCATAGGATAAGAATTTCAAAGAAACATGAAATGTAGTAGCACAGGCCCTAATGTGGTCTGTAGGGCCACCTTTTCAGTGGGAATTGGCTGTTTCTGTGCTTAAAAAGTTTTTGTTGTCTTCTAACTATTTCTGGATCACACAAGTAAAAAATATGTTAGGAGATTTTGAAATAAAACTTTCCTATTTCTTATTTAGGAATGTTTTTGTCTTATTTATTAGTCTAGTTAATTTATCCTTAATTAAAATATGAGGTATTGGGTTTGTTCATAACCTTAGGCTGCTCGTTTGGTTATAGGTGGCATAAATGATAGACCTTTGGGTTAGTAATAATGAAAACATTAAGCTCATTTCATATGGATTGTCTTCAAAACATGAAAGCATCGAGTCTCTAACAATAAGCATGTAACAAAAGGGACAGTCAGTTGTGTCTGAACGTTTTAGATGGCTTCAGTGATGTCAAAAGATCAGTTTTAAGTCACATGTGGTGACTCATACTTGTATTCCTACCTACTGAGGAGGTGGAGTCAGGAGGATAGTGAGATTGAGGCCAGCCTCAGCAAAGGCATCTTAAGACCCTGTCTCAAAAACAACATGCAAACAAAAGGGCCAGGGATGGGGCTTAAGTGGTAGAGCACTTGACTAGCATGTGTGAGGTCTTGAGTTCAGTCTCCAGTACTGCAAAAATAATAAGAAGAACAATAACAACAGCCATTTTTAAGAAGGTAACTTTGCATTCTCTGTACATTTTGAGACCTCAGTTTCTTACTGAGCTTCCTATAAGCAATGGTAGTAGCATATGTCAGGACTTTGGAAATGACAATGGATAAGGGAAGCCACATAAGAGTTATGTGTGTTCTGGAAGAGGGGACAAAAAGAAGGAGGAGGCAAGGGGAAAGGAAAAGGAAACTGGAAATAAGAGTCAGGGGCAGAGAGATGGAAGGGGCCATTAAGGTGAAGATGACATTTAGAGAAATGTACAGGATGCAGGAAGAGAGGTAAAGTGAGTAGAGAGGAGAAAGAGCGCGAGGCAGAGCAGGGAGGAGAAAGAGTGCAAATTGACAGTAGGAAAAAAGGGGAGGGAATAGATGCTGCAAGAAGCAGCAGGAAGTAAGAAGTATGGGAAAAGAGGAGAAAGGGAAGAAGAAACAGCCAGATGCAGACATACTGAGAAAAGGAGTTTAAGAGAGGAGAGTGAGAGGCACTGAGGGGGCAGCAGAGAAGGAAGAGAAACAAAATAAAAGGGACAGAGGTGAGGAAGAGGGACCAGAGCAAGTGTGGGACAAGGCAGGAGAGGAGGAGGCAGTTATGTGCAGAGATGGGAACATGTGGTGACTGTCAGAAAGACTGGGGAGAAAGAAAGATGAACTGTGAAGCAAAGGACTGAAAAAGTGGATGAGAACGGGTATGAGGAAAAATAAGGAAAAGGAGAGAAAGATGTAAAACACAGAGAAGAGATGGGACTGGCTGGTAGAGGGTGGAGGAAGGAGGCATGGGATGGGGAGAGAGAAGTGCATATGTAGAAAAAGGATATGTGTGTTACAGCACATGTACTCAGGTTTGCTTCTCTGTCCTGTGCTACTCTTCAACTTACAGAATGATGAGAAAATGAATGAAGTGATGAATCTAGCCCACACGTTCCTGCAGAATTTCTGTCGGGGAAATCCACAGAATCAAGTTCTTCTTCATAAACATCTGAATTTGTTTTTAACTCCTGGTGTAAGTATTGTAGTGACCTTTGCTACTTACAGTAAAGTGGGTTGATTGTATTTTAGCAGCATTAATGCATAGAGTTTTTAAAGTCTTTGTTACATCATTTTACCCTATAGAGATTCTCTCCCTAAAATTACTTTTAAATTTCCACTAAGGAAACCTTTTAACTAACTTGAAAATTACACAAATCTTATGTGCAATTGACAGTTTCACTATACATGTGTAATGTTAGAAAAAAGATACGGTAGAACAGAGAACTAACTTGACAATACCATGGTAAGGTAGATTAGGAAAGTCAAAGGTGGAGCCAGCTGTGGTCTGTGGAGTGCATTTAAGCAGATCTTGAGGAAGAGCTGACTTCCAATAACATAATTAAATTCCTGGCACACTGCGCTTCATGAATACAAGGAACTGAGTTTCTCTCAGTGGTTCCTGATCTCCTTGCATTTTATAGAGAACTTGCATATAAAATGTGCCGCTGACTGCAGGCAGGGAGTTGAGTCTGAGGATGGTAGGATGAAGCTTGTCTTGTGGTCATCATGAAGCCTCCTCCTGCTCTGTGCAGCTCCTTGAGGCAGAGACCATGCGGCATATCTTCATGAACAACTTCCACCTGTGCAATGAGATCAGCGACAGGGTTGTGCAGCACTTCGTGCACTGCATCGAGACACATGGCCGCCACGTGCAGTACCTGCGGTTTTTGCAAACAATCGTAAAAGCAGATGGCAAATACGTCAAGAAATGCCAGGATATGGTCATGACAGAGGTATGTTCTCAGTGCGCATTTTATCAGTTTCACGTAAGCAATATGCTCGGTATGTATTTTCTGTCAATTTAGAGTATAAGAACCCCAATAACACCAGTGTGGAATTTTTCTATTTAATCATGACTCCTTAAGCGCAGGTGTGCTTTGTACCAGTCTACTGAATAGCACAGTGCAGCAGGAGTTTATGATTTCCTAAGAGTTTTTCCTTTTGATCCATGATGAATTTGGATGTGTTAAATAATGTGTAAAATCTTATGAGTTCAGAAGATTATTTGGAATTAAATTGACAAAGTGGTATGTTGTTAAGTTTTCAGTAATATAACAGAGTCTGAACACTGCTTGTGCTGTTGTTGCTGTTTCTGAATTATAGAGTGGGTGTTCTCTGCCATTATTTGTAAAGGCTTTGAAGAAAACCAAATTAATTAATAAAAACTGTTTGTCAAGACTTTGTTACGGTCTATGGAAACTTGCTTTGTGGAGTAAATTACACATTTAAGAAAAACAAACAGATGATGTAATTAATTTGTTTTGCCCTCTGGATTTTGATGAGTGACATTGAGGGAGATTTATGTCATGAATATGTTATTCACTGGGAACCAGCGGATGACAGGGTATTTGGATAAATCACTTCTCTATGATGGACTAGTTCTCCAGTGCCCCATGTGGATTAAGGAAGTTTCCACACATGGCTACCAGACAGTTACATGGTAGATTCATTGGTTTGGGACATTTTCATAGTTACATGCCTTCAGTTTGGAAATTAGGAGATATTGCCCGATTGGTTCAGTTTGCCCCATAGGAATCTTAAAATTAGTTCATCTTTAGACCTTGGAGTTTGGTTTTTTTTGTTGTTGTTGTTAATTAATTTATTTTTTTATTGTTTTATTATTCATATGTGCATACAAGGCTTGGGTCATTTCTCCCCCCTGCCCCCACCCCCTCCCTTACCCCCCACTCTGCCCCCTTCCTCTCCCCCCCACCTCCTCAATACCCAGCAGAAACTATTTTGCCCTTATCTCTAATTTTGTTGAAGAGAGAGTATAAGCAATAATAGGAAGG